TCTCTGCGAAAATCAAAGTTTCCTCGGGACTGTTGCTGAATATGATACTAATGAAAAACTTGCAACTGAAAAAATATGCAAATGCAATTCAATCCTTCATATTGATAGCAAATTTTCAACTAGAGTCACTCTCAATTTGCAGATACTATCTCTGTACAAAACAATTTAAATTTCGATACAGTAAAATACGATTGTTTCTTGATTTGTACTTTGACACACGAAAAAAATATAGTCATCAGTTAGTCGATAAAAGTTAATTGTATAAAAAGTTAGTGTTTGTATTCTCCAAAATTTATTCTTGTTCGATTTTTGCACAGAGACGTATTGAATTTTAAATTCAGTCGTTTGACAACTTTTCTAGTAAATTCATTTTTTTATTTTTTGTATACTCGATAAAAATGTCTGACACTTTCTTATCCTTCATGTCTACTAACCCCTTCTTTTTCAGCTTTTAATCCAAGGGATCACTTTTTGTTTCAGGTTATTTGCAGAAATTTCGTACACTGAATCTCTGTTTGCCAAAATGAAGAGTCAACAATCTCAAGAAATTTGATATTATGTTTCTAATACTAAATTATTATAAATTATTAACTGTCCACTGATATGATATTGTCCACTGAGTTTCTCTTTCAGAGATCATTTTGGAATCAAGCTACATGTTCATCTGAATGAATTGTTTATAATCTATAAAAATGTTTTGTTATAATCCTCCCAATTTCTGCTGCAGAAATCATCATATGAAGATTTTTCTTCACCCGAAGATCAGTATATGAAGGTATCATCACCCGCAGATTCTCATGGAGCCGAACGGGTTTAAAAAATAACTGCGTTATTCATGGGCGTAGCCAGGTTATCAGTCAGGGGGGTGGGGCAATGTAATTTTTTATTATTAAACAATTGTTATTTCTTTATTAATTGAGTATATATCGTGGTAGTACGTTATTCATTTCACTAGAAAATGCAGTAATTTGGAGATGATGTATACAATATAATAAAAATAATATTCAAATCATTAATGTGTGCAAATAAGTCTCGTCCGTAGATTCTAATACAGAGTAGAAAGAACGAAAACCACATCGGTATGTTTATGATAGAGAGGAAAACGTGGTGGTGCCTTCCTGGATAGGCATGTGTAGCAGTTAGCGCAATACCACGAGACGCGACAGCACGTTTCAATCCCGGAACCAGTGTCGCGAGACACAAAGGTATCATTCGTATTTGCAAGTTCTATGAAATAGTGGAACACGTGTATTGAGAATCGCAATAAAGTATCGGTGCATAAAAAGAAGACGTATTAAGTTATGTCACCTGTGCATCGATATGCACGCCCTAGTGAAAAACCGCGTGTTATGGAATAATTTAACACGTTGTGCATGTATGACCATTGAAAAGTGCATTGCGATTTCCAGTTATCGTGGCCGATGTTTTCGTTGCCACTCGCAAAGAACGCATGGGTTACGTACACGAGTAGAGTACCGAGACGTACTGGCGTGTACTCACGACCACTTTAATGGAGTGTGAGCGTTAAATGCAGGGAAGGTACTACTGTGTTTCACCAGCATGTATTATGTAGAAACATATTTGTGTGGTAGACGTATATACTCAGAAGGAATGAGTATTTGTATTCTGTCCATTAAAAAGGGCAGGCCCAGAGTTGTCTATCTACTACTTATGTGCAGCATTTTTCTCCTCCGGAGGTACCCTCACTATGGGACTTGGATTGACTCGCTCGAGTCAATTTGAGGTCGGTAGTCGGGGATACCCACGAGGCGAAACACGTAATTGCTTGTAGCTCGTGGGCGGCATTTGGACACCTTTGGTATTAGTGTTAATTTTTATGATAGTTAGTCTGTTAATAAAATTTTATTTCACCCATTAGTGTGCTAATTATTATTTTCAGCAGTTATACCGTCATTTGTAGATAAATAACGAAATTCATATAACGTAAATTTATTTACTATTTAAGTACAGCACATAATATACCAGTCTACTGTGAAGTACTTTAAGATTATTATTTGTCTTCATTGATATTTTTAAACCAACACGAATATTCGTGAAGCATCATTGATATTGAATTAGATCAGAAAGACGTACTGTCACGTTGCTCGAAGATAGAAAAAAAAATTAAGTAGTGTCTTTTGACTGATGTATGAGACATGACAGACATGTACAAGAAGGCATTTCGCGACGGGTTGTTTTTGGCGTCAAAGTGACATAAAACATAAAACAAAGATCAGTATATGAAGGTTTGTCATCATCCGCAGATTGTTATAAAGCCGAGTGGGTTTAAAAAATAACTGCGCTGTTCGTGGGCGTAGCCAGTTTATCAGTTAGGGGGAGGCAATGTAATTTTGTTCCTTCGGGAAGGGGGTGGGGGCAAAGTCCTATTTTTTTCTTCTAACGTAGTGCAAAACCGACTTTTTTCGTCCATGGACGGAGGGGGGGGCATGTGCCCATGTCGTTATTTGAACATTAGTTTCTGCGTTCCGTTTAGTTTAAGTTGTTGAATGTGAACTATTGTTAAATTATCATTTTGAATTATTATCATTTGTTGTTAAATTATTTGTACAAGGAGAATAGATGTGCAACTTGTGATTCCATCTATCCTCCTTGGGTCTCCATTCGCAGCAACCTCCACGTGGTGAGACCTGGGCAATCATTATTATTTGGTATATAATTGGCAACTATAATCACTTACAAGTTGGCGAACTATATAGCAAATAATATGAGCCAATTGGCTGCGAGCTTTTGCTCCTTTTGATCAATTGATTCTTGTTAGTTTCTTTACTGGCTAGATGCAAGTGGCAAGAATTTCTTGTTTTGTATATAATCTGTTCGCACCACCACAGATGAGGCATAACTGATAAGAAAAACCATGCTCGAAGATTCGTATTTTGTAGAGGAAATGTTAAGGAATATGGCTATATTTCTGTTCAAATTTTCAACTTGCCGAGGGATACGTGGAGCGAGGGGCGTTCCTAGTGATCAATTAACGGACACTCAATTATTGGGCTTCTACTGTAATTCACGAATTCACCGTTCTCATAACGTAGAGGGCAGCAAAAAATCTCTGACTGTTTGCACGATCGGTATTTTAGAACATGAGACACAAAGTCCCATAAGATGATAAGTCTATTTTCTATCTCGTCTGTGTATATATGTATATTGGATGCACTTGGACAATGGGGACAGCCAGGACAGCAGCGATTGAGGCGCCACTGGCGGATGCGTTTTGTATGGTTCTGTATGTTCTGCATTGCTCTTGGTACTTACAGCAATTTACAGTGACAGAACGCGAAGTGTTTTCACTGTATATGTCTTTAAAAGTGAAGTAACGGGAAGTGAAATGAATGAAAGTGAATAGATCCGCGGTTAACGAAACGATAGTAACAGTGAAGTGGAAAAGAAGAATTAGCCTCCGGAAGATTATATGTCGACGGTTCGAATGGATACACAACCTCTCTACTGAATAATTTTCATCTCACGCTGATCACTTTGTCGTAAGATAGATATTTATTTGTAGTTGTAGTCTGTCGCGACCATTACGTGTTCTACTGTATAAACAGGTGTATTAGATTTATGATGAGTGATGGTAAGAAAGTAGGTGAAAATTCCAGTAGTGAGGTTGTTAACCAGTTTCGAAGCTGTAGGGATCTCAGCGATATCGTGCCCTTGTACACACCACGCGCGCTTTATTTAAAACCAGTTGCAAAAATAAATGTATCTGTTAATCTTCCACAACTGAAGGTCCCAGGTAAACTAGTCAAGAATCTATAAGTTTATCTTTGTTTCATGATTTGTCTACTTTATTTAATGGGAAACATTCTGTGCATTACTTCCTATTTAAACATTTGCAACAAGGAAACGATTTTTCGAAACATACACAAGAAAATTTCTATTGATGAAATTTGTTTCCATAAGTATAATCTATTAATTCTATATAGGTACATCAGTTCTATTTATTGTCTCAATTAATAATGTTGATTCTTGTGACAGGAAACACGTGCAGTTTCTTTAAATTATGTGCCAATTTATAAATTACACATACTATGTTTAGCATAATAGGTGTTTACAGAAAATTAACTGCGATATAAACAGGAAAAACTATATCAACATGGGAAGTAATGGAGAAGATACGTGCCCTTATACTACCGGACGAGTTTGCATCTCTGAAGGTAGCCAAGAGTACACTGGAATTTATCAGATTGGAAGGAGACTTACAAGACAGGAGCAGGTTACAGCGTGTGCTTGCCAGGTTGGACTCACAACGTCTGAATCTGTCTGGATTCCCCAATGTTCTAAAAGTACGGGCAGCAGAGACAAAGGATGAGTTTCCCACAAGGCATAGTTGGGATTCATATTTTCGAGACACCAAACATATGAATGAATTGAAGCCTGGAGAGAGGCCTGACACTCTTCACATAACAGGCTTGCCTGTTAAATGGTTTATAGAAGATGGTGGAACCATGCCTAGTGAATCACTGATTAGCAAAATTTTCAAGAAGTGGGGAACACTCAGGAGAATTGACGTGCCTGCTGCCGATCCTTATAGATTTAGAATGCGGCTTGGTACAAACATAAATAAATTTAGTTTTGAAGATGGAATATTTTTTGATGCCTACATCCAATATATCGAATATATGGATTTTGTTAGAGCAATGGATGCACTACGTGGGATGAAAATTCTTAAAAAAGAAGGAGAAAATGCATTTACTGCTGCCATTAAGGTGTGTTTAAGACAACAGTGCTTTATGCACACATTATTGTGTACTTGTTATAGGCATAATAAGTATTGCTTTTGTTTTGACCATTCAATGTAGGTCACATTTGATAAAACTAAGCACATGAGTGACAGTACTGTCGCACACAGAGAATTTGAAAGGAAACGCCTCATAGCTCAGGATACATTAGCAGCAGAGAGACTTCGCAAGAAAGAAGAAGCTGAAGCGAAACGACGCGAAGAACTGAAGTAAATTGCAATAAACTTGATAAATGTTAAAGTGACTTGAATTATTTATGTATTTTCCTCTACAGGAAGAAAGAAGAAGCTGAAGCAATAATAAAAAAAGGCAGACGACAAAAAAGAGAAGAGAAACGCAAACGCAAAGTTTTAACTATATTTCGTAAAAAGGAGGAAGATAAAGTGTCTATGAAAATAGCTAGAGAGGGACAGAAGTTAATAAAAGCTCAAAGACAGCTTGAAAGTATTCGTTTGTTGGATGAGTTATTTGATAGAATAAAGGTACTATTATAGGATAATTTTGGGGAACTTTTGCTATCCACACCTACTGTATTTATACAGTTAACTTATGTGTATTTCATATTTCAAGATAAGAGTGGAAAATAATGAAATTAAGATAGATGATGTGAATGTGGATTTAAAGAAGGACGATAAAAAAAATCATAAACAAGATGGCACAGTGCAAATATTAAGTTCAGATGAAAATGACAAAGATGAAAGAAAGGAAAAGAAGAATAAGAAATCGAAAAAGAAGAAATCAAAAAAGGAGAAAAAGAAAAAGGTACGTCGTACACTTTACTTTTATAGTATTTATTCTTGCATTTGAGTAACTTCAAGAATCATATTATTTTAGAAAAAACATAAAAAGGAAAAAGACTCTGCTAATTCCGCAAGTTTGAGTGAGATCTCAGACGCAGAAGGGCAAACAAAGAAATTGAAGAGTGTCCTAAATCAGAATGTTTCATATCCATCTTCATCTGCAGGTAAATCTAACCAGCGAAAAAAGTAAAAAGTAAATTTGATGTACATTTTATTACATTCATTTTATTTTGCAGCGCCTGCTCCCTTGGAGTCTCTTCCTTACCCACCACTCTATCCACGATTTCCACAACCATGGTACTACGAAGCTGCGTTACCTTTGATTTATCCCTCGTTGTCAAGGGGTATGCCCAGAGGAGGTCGGTTTTCACGTGGAAGAGGAGGTAGAGGATTTCTGTGGCGGAATGGCGGAAACGCCCGCTCGTTACAAACATTCAACCCTCATCTGTACAATGAGCAATATTACAAGTACTTTGCGCATTTAGTAGGCCAGGATTATCATACGCTTGAGTATAGAAATTCACGGTCCCATAGTCGTAATAGATCGTTGAGCAGATCGCGATCAAAATCTAAATCAAGATCAAGGTCCAGGTCAAGGTCTAAAACCCATTCCAGAACAAGGTCCAGGTCTCGGGGTAGATCAAAGTCACGGTCAAGGTCAAGATCAAGAACTCGTTCTAGGTCACAAAATCGGAAACGAAGTAGAAGCAGAAGTAGATCGCGCTCGAGAAGACGCCGAGGAAGATCGAAATCCAGATCGAAGTCTTCTTCCAAAGTACGGTCCCGATCTCGTCGGTCGAGATCCAGAAAAACGACACGATCTCGAAGTCGTACGAGATCTCGAAATAACAGCAGAAATCGGTATAGACGAAGGCGGGATAGATCGGTGGAGAAGGTGAGGGTCACAAGGGCAAAGTCCCGTTCCACGTCGTCCAAGAGAAGATCTCGCAGTAGCACTTGGTCCTTGCCGAAGTCGCCTGAAAGAAGTTGTTCCTGGTCGAAAATCGCGGATGCTATTAATAATAAAGTGAACTCGGATAAGTCACTGACTACGGAGAAACAAGGTGCCACGGACAAAGAAACGTCACAAAGTTCTCAGCCGGAGAACGTAACTTCCGACACACAAAAATCGAAGACAGATCTTCCGACTTGTATCTCCGATTCCGCCACATAAAATGAATGCTTGGGTGGTGTACAACTCTGTATAAAAGCCGCGTGAATTTGTGTAACTATCCTATTACACATGTCTAGTATTCTTTTGACGAAAAGAAGATATATTTTTGTTTATGTGATAGTTCTTCCTACCCCTAAACAATGAAAATACGGTAACAGACGTGAGAAAAATTCTATGGAAGTTTTATGTTTTTCAACGTACATACGTTATATATGTTACAAGAAGCAACTGTATATACGCTACGAACTGTTTAATTCTATAGCAAAGAAAAACATAAGAAATGGTAAAACGAGTACTGCATTTTTAAGTTGACATTATGAATAAATACCACATTGACAAATTCAATATCTAAATTCTATTTAAATAAATAATACTCTACTTTCGCAAAAATCGAGTTCACGATTGATAGTTAGGATTTGATAGGTTGGAGTTTTGAGAATTTCTTCAAAGTCTAATTAGTTGAAGCTCGTACAGGCTGGGAGATGTATCTAGGGCAAACAGAAGAAAGAAAAAAACATTCATATTCGACTTGCAAATTTTATTTGTTTCTCGGCATGAAAATGCATTGGTTCATAAACATTGTAATCGTTAATATCCCTATCCCTTCGTAGATCGAAGATCGATTTTTAGCAGCGTTTCTCGGAGTACACGCTACGATTAGTTTTATCGACTGGTGCTCGCTTGATATTAGTTCGCCTATGATTAACAGGATTCAGATTCATTCGGTTCACTGTTATTTTTTTTTTTTCGTTTAACTTATTAGTGCCGTGGTCAGCACCGCGCGCGTACACCCGCCAGACGTTTTTATTCCTCTCAAACACGGTTGGTTTCACTTTAAAAATATGTGTTACATTTTATCTTAATTATTTTTTTTTTTGTGTGGTTTCTCATCGCTATATTAATCATATAATAATACGTACTATATACACTTCGCATCGTTAACCGCGCCTCGCGTATGTTTCATAATAACAACTCGTTTTGTTATAATTAATGCTCCACAATGATATCCAATCTAAATGGAAGATTTTTATCATTCTTGAACATCATCATTCGTTTCACAAGACGATTTTTTCCTCCCTCAATGTTTTTTTATCGTTATTACTTGTTTTTTTTCTCGTTAACGCTCATCGGTTCTCCTTTGCTTTTCCTCCTCTTCGTTTTAGTTTTTTTTTATTCCTTAAATCGTCTACCGCTACGGTATCTTCGGAATTGATTAGATATTGACTACTTTCAAGATTCGTTGCGTGGGAATTGTTTCATCTTTTTTTTTTTAGATCTGATCCGTCACCGGGACGGTAGCGTACTTCCGTTTCTTTGCGTTACGCGATGCCGTGTTCGTTTCCCATTCGATTCGCGATCACATCGCGAACCTGCTGGGTGTGTGCATTGGCACGGGCTTAGGGATCAAGTTATAAATTTTTTTCCCCTTGTTTTTTTAGTCTTGCTTGACCGACATCGAGTTGTCCGCGCGGAATGAGCGCTAGCGTCCGCGATAATTGAATCGGTGACCGGAGGAACATACTGTGATATCATTTCCTCGGAGTTTATTTGTTAAAAGAATTCAACTTTCATTCACAATACTATTTGGAATCTTATCGTTGAGGTCCTTCTGATCCTGGATCGTTGAGATTAATTGATTATGTTTATTTTTCATCGAATGGAATATAGTGTTTTTGTTTTGTCTAAAGAAATTATTTGGCAAATTTTACGAACACGATGACGAGGAAAGCTCCATGCCTCGTTAAAAGAATAAAGTGTCGGTCATATAGGGGTGGAAGAATGTTATAACATAAAGTAGTTTGAATACCATGAAGCAGGTCGATTTCTTTTCCATGAAACAAAACGGTGCTCGACTATCATTGTTCCCGGGATCACCGATACAATTTTATAGGAAATAATTCTGCATCATTGCACGCTTATGGGATACAGAGTTATCTCTTCGTTCGTTCGATCTCGTTTCATTCATCTCGGTGTACACTCTAAAAATGAATCGTTCATTTTCCAATAACCACGCCCCGTGAAACTCAACTTTCATGTACACCAAAAATTCAGCGAGATACAACAGAATGTCGATCATGAGAAAGTAAGTGTTACGCTGCTGTACAATTCCTAAAAGGAAAATGATTGATTTCGATAAAGTGACTGGCCTTCGCATAAAACGAAACATCTTCCCTGAACATTATTTACACATAATGTTAACGCAACAAACGATTTTGTACCCCGCTACAGATTTCGAAATTTTATTCGTACACTTTTATACAAACATATTGTTTTCGTTCAAACGTTGTTCTGTACTTACAAACGAAGCTCCACTTACATTTTTTTTTTAAATATTCTCGCCGCTATGTTCCTTACTTAAACTACGGTAATAATCGAACGAGAAACGGGAAGAAGTGCAATTTTTCGGGAAATTGTCACAGGTTCTTTGTCGAACACGCCGAGTATTTTTGGGAAATGAACGACCCAAATGTGTACAATTTCCATTGAGCAAGCATTACATGCTTCACGCCAGCTATCGCCCGATAATGTAAAAGTAACTAATGCGTCACCCTGTGGGTTACTCTTCGTAATCTGGACCTTTTCAGACGGGTCGATACACTGCGAAGGGCACACAAAAAGTGCAGCGTGTTTCAAGTTAATCGTAATCATCTCGATCGTTTATAGACGAGTCGCGTATTTGAACATAAATGTTATTGAAAGATTCATTTCTTCTATCGGTAAATACTGAAACGGTAAAATTGACTTTTGAACTTTTTAACTCGTAATTGGTACGATTTTTGCATCAAGCACAGCCTATCGACAATTTTTTATTTCACTGATGTGCTTCCGAGTGGCTTGAGATTATTTTAAATGTCTTCTTTTCTTTAAATTTCAGTAGATCGTCGTAAGATTACTCGCCAGCTGACCGACTTGCATTAGCAACACGTTGACTGCCACAGTGAAAAAGGTCGTACGTAGCCAGACACACTTTACTTCGTTTAAGTTATAAATCTTCGAAATTATATGCGTTTAGTTAATAGATTGTTTGTCTTGGTTTAAATTACACTGCGATATTAATTTTACGCAAACCGTTTGTAACGGTATTTAAATAATCCAGCCTCTTTGCAATGTTTTAACTACGAGTTATCTCGTAATTGGCAATCAACATGTTAAACATTTTTGAGATCCATATTTTCCTCGAAAAAGGTCTATCGTCAAATAAGTCTTGTGAAACTCACTTTAAGAATTACCAATTAATCTGTTAATAGAAGAAATGAATGAAAATCTGGTTTATATCTGTAACAATCAGTCTGGGAACATGTAAACTAGCATAAACACATATGGTGTCTTATAACACTTAATGCATTGAAATGAATGTACCTCAAAATGCAATCAAATCAGATTCTAGTACTGTCATTAAAAGTTCAAGCCTGACTATAGGAGTTTGCAAGATCACAAGCTTGAATTAAGAAGTTTCACTAATTTTCATTAACAGTCTCGACCAAATTATTTTCCCCTAACTATCAAGCCTCCATGAAACATTTCGCTGCACGTTTCGTGTGTCTCTTTTCAGTGGCAAATAATAGGAGAGAAAAAGAGAGAGAGAGAGAGAGAGCTCGTTAAAAAAGTCTACTTTCCCTTAAACTCGTGGTCGCTAGATTCACCCTATAGATTAATAGGTGGTACATTACTTAGTAATTTCTTGGTCATTTTACGTAACAGTTAGAACGGCGACAGCCCGCTAGGTAGTTATTGGTAATGATCTTAATAAAGTGTCTGAGAGTTAAAACCGTTCGAACGCTACCGTTATTAGTACTAATAATAATAATAATCGGTTTGGTAATAATCATAATCCGTAATAATAATAACAACAGTAAATGATTATACCACGGTTAATAACGTAGCAATGCTCGTATAAATCGCAGCGGAGAACGGTCTTCTCCGGCGTGTGTTATTCAGCCTCTCTTCAACCCTCGCGGTATTTTCCCCGTTTTCTTCTGTCCTCCCCCCGTCCGTTCCCCCTCTTTTCTCGCCTCTTTATTCCGTTCGAATCGCTGTCAATTGACCGCGTTCAAAGACGATCGAACCCGTTCGCGATTTTCGAGTGGCACTCCGGCCCGCCGTTTACCCTCTTTCTCGTTACCTTCGCCCTCTGTGACCCCTTGTCAGGCGTTCCCTCCACGTTCTTCTTCCTTTCCACTTCCGAGAATCACGGACACGGTCGGTTTGTAAGAGTCAGCCCATCGTTCGGGATACTCGTTTACTGTAGTCGGAGCAAAATTAATTGGCCGTTCAAGGTCGTTATACAATTGTCCACCCCTTATTATTCTCTTTCGCCACAGATTCGAATTCACTTATGATTTATATTGGGATGGAAATTCATCCGAATAACGTGAATGAATAATCAGTGTATTTTTTACCCAGACGCTAATTTATTTTAATAGACACGATGATTTTATTTCACCCTTTTGCTGCGGCTGCTAGATTGTTTTTAATGGATATACAAATTCATCGAAACAGAAATTTCTATGAATAACGTGAATGGATAAGCATGTATTTATTCAACTCATATGTTTATTTATTTTAGAAGATACAGATACTTTTCTCGTGTCTCTTCAGTGGAAATAAAGATGTTTGCCCATCTTCAAATGTTACACTGTGAAAGTCTTCTATGCAGTTTGTAATTATGCTCCGACTACGGTTAATCGTAACAAGGAAGGAAAAAAGTATGATCAACGTGTAAACGTATCTCTGTTCGCTACGTTTATATACAAAGATTTATATAAGTTTGATTTAACCTACGCTCACGCCAGACCTCACCGTTCGTTCTTGCCTTCGTCTCGCTCGCAACGCGTCGCGTTTCCTTCGCGTATTTTTCCAGGCGTTTCGTTCCCTCCGCACTTTCTGTTTTATCCTTTACATTTCTCATTTTTCTAAAGTTACGACGCGTTCTCATGACTGACAGCACTGACGACCGGCGATACGAATGATTTCGCGATATGAAGGCCGTACTCGCCGCGCTCGTTGTAAAACGTGCGCGTTGCAACTCGTGGCTGAATTGTTTCCGTATTTTTTATTCCTTTGGAAAAAGGAACACGGGTCGAATGCAATGTCGGAGGTGATGCAACCATACAGCATGGAAAACAAGATGTTCCATTTAAAATTG